GGTAGTACACACCTGAAATCCCAGCAATTTGAAAGGCTGAGGCAAGAGGAATGCAAGTTTAAGGCCAGCCACAGCAACTTAGTGAGACCTTGTCTCAAAAAATTAAAAAGGGCTAGGGATGTAGCTCAGTGGCAAAGTGCCCTGGGTTCAATTCCCAATACCCATCATCCCCCAACTCCCTCCAAAAAACTACCCAAACAACAGCTTTACTATATACCAATACTGGCTGAGCAAGAAGAAACCATGACAGTGATCCCATTTACAATAACCTCACACACACAAAATACCTAGGAATAAACCTAAGGAAGTGAAAGACCTATGCAATGAAAAGTGGAAAACAAGGAAGAAAGAAACTGAAGATACTCAAAGGTGAAAAGACCTCCCATGTTCATGAAAAGATAGGATATTGTTTAAAATGTTCACACTACCCAAAGCAATTTGCACACTGAATGCAGTCCCCATCAAAATACTGATGACATTCTTCACCTAATTAGAAAAAAACAAACCCTAAAATTCATATGGAAGCACAAAAGACCTCAAATAGCTAAAACAATCTTGAGCTAAAAGAGCAAAGATAGAGGCATCACAATACCTGACTTCAAGACATACTACAGAGTCACAGTAACAAAAATGGTATGGTATTGGCATAAAAACAGACCAATGGACAGAATAGAGAACCCAGAAATAAATCCACACATCTATCGCTAATTGAGTCTTCACAAAGATGCCAAAAACATATACTGAAGAAAGAACAGCCTCTTTTAACAAATGGTGCTAGAAAAACTGGATTTCCACAAGCAGAAGACTGAAACTTGACCTCTATCTCTTACCCTATTCAAAAGTCAACTCAAACTGAATCAAAGTCCTTAATGTAAGACCTGAAACTCTGAAACTACTAGAAGGGACACAGGCGAAAAACTTAAAAGATACTGGTAGAAGCAATGATTTTATGAACAGAACTTCCAAAGCTCACGAAACAAAAGCAAACATTAACAAATAGGATTACATCAAACTAAAAAGGTTCTGCCCAGCAAAGAAACAAGAGTGGAGAACCTACAGAATGGGAAAAAAATATTTGTAAGTTATTCATCTGACATAAGGCTTATATTAGAATAAAGAACTCAAAAACAACAAAAAATGAGTAATCAAATTAAAAATATGGGCAAATGATCTGAACAGACTCTTTACAAAAGAAGAAGTACAAAAGGGGCTGGAGATGTGGCTCAAGCAATAGCGCGCTCGCCTGGCATGCGTGCGGCCCAGGTTCGATCCTCAGCACCGCATACAAACAAAGATGTTGTGTCTGCCGAAAAGTAAAAAAAAGAAATAAATATTAAAAAAAAATTCTCTCTCACTCTCCTAAAAAAAAAAAAAAAAAGTACAAAAGGCCAATAAAATAAATGAAAAATGCCCAATATTATTAGCCATCAGGGAAATGCAAATCAAAACTACAATAAGATACCCATCTCATCAAGTTAGAATGGCTATTATTAACAACAAAAAATAATAAATGCTGGCAAGGATGTGGAGGGAAAGGAACCCTTATAACACTGCTAGAGGGAATGTGAACTAGTAGCTACTATGCAAATGAAGTCAGCATATAAAGCAGACACCTGCATGCCCATGTTTATAGTGGTACTTTTCGTGATAGCTATAAAGGGAAGCAGCTCAGGTACTCATTAACAGATACAGAAAATGTAATGTGTGTGTATAACACAGAGAGTATTATTCAGCCATAGAAAAGAATGAAATTCTGTCATTTGCAGGAAAATAAATGGAAATGGAGGACATTATTTCACTATTAAGCAAAATAGGTCAGGCACAGAAAGACAAGTATTGTATTTTTTCTCTCTCATATGGAAACTGGAAAAAAAAAAAAAAAAAGATAAATTCACTTTAAAAGTCCTGAAAGAAAAGGGATTACTGGTGACTGGCAAGTGTATGGGGGACACGAGATGCAGGCTAGGAGAAAGTAGAAGGGTGGATGGATATGATCAATTTACTGTGTTTGTGTGTGTGTGTGTATGGATATATTGCAATAAATCCCATCAATCTATACAACCAAAAATTTTTATTAAAGAAAGGAAGTTAAAAAAGAAAAAAGGAAAGATGAACTGAAATTAAGAGGTATGAGGAAAAAAACAAAGATGGTGAAGAAACCACATACAATTAATTAGAAAGTTGTACAAAAGGAAGATGATATTTCAAGAAACAAGCAGGGAGATAAACATCTTCCAATGCTTCAAAGAACAGAAGATGAGAAATAAGCAAGACATACTGGATTTGAAAAGTAAACTTTAAAAGAGAAACTTCTTAAGTTGTTGAAGGCTTACATGGAAAATTAAAGAGTAAGTTAGATGTGATGGCACATGCCCGAAATCCCAGCAACTCTGGAGGCTGAGGCACCAAAAGAAAAATAAATAAATAAATAAGAGCCATTTGCAAAGATGAGCAAATAGTATTTTTGGATCACTTTTCCAAAAAAGGATTAACAATAAGAAAAAAAATGGGAGAAAGCAATCACCTGATTGGTCTGGCAAATTGCAGGGCTTCGTTTTAGGAAAAAGTTTCATTTGCTAGCATAGATAGTGCTGAAAGAGGGAAGAAAGGCTATGCCAAAGTCCTCTAGGGTAGTACTCTTTTCAGCCTCACTCACCTCACAATATATAAAGTATTTGAAAATACCTACAATTTATGGAGATATATCAGGATACTGTGGCATTCTAATTAGGAAACTCTTTTTCTAGGGATTTAAGTCTTGAACCTACCAAGACAAACATATAGATAAAAGGCACATATTAGTTTTTTGGCATGAACTGCAGCACATCATTGATGATCCTGATGGCTACAACCTACTCTGGTCAAACCAACTAAAAAAAATGACCTATATGCCTCAGGAAGATTTTTATCCTGACAGGAGCCTTCTAAGAGTATCATGTTTGAGCAGCCCCTCTTTCATATCCCAGAAGACATAATTCCAATTTCTTGGAAATAAAAGTGTCTATCCCACAGGTCTCCTGTGCTGGTAAAATGTTTGCCCAGCTAGAGTGTTACAAAGAGCATTACAGCTGTGAGCTATCTTTTCAGAAATTTTTAGAGTCAGCCTATTTTCTCTTAGTATCACTACAAATCATATGGATGAACCAGCAATGTAACTGTTAAGAAAACCGGTTAAGACTTCCTGAACAAAGTCTTTTTTTTTTTTTGGTACTAAGGATTGTACCCAGGTATGCTTAATCACTGAGCCACATCCCCAGCCCTTTTTAATATTTTATGTAGAGACAGGGTCTCATTGAGTTGTTAAGTGCCTTGCTAAGTTGCTGAGACTGGCTTTGAACTCATGATCCTCCTGCCTCAGCCTCCCAAGCTGCTGGGATTACAGACATGCACCAACATGCCAGCTGGACAAAGTCTTTAAATTAAAGACTTAACTTTGTTAAAAATAACTTAAATAGTTAAGTCTTAAAATAACAAAGCTCTTTGTGTAGGATAAGTCTCAAGGACAGTATGATACCAGCTTGTTAAGAATGATCATGTGCTGAAGAAATCAGTTCTCTAGTTATGACCTTTGACATCACAAGCTCAAGATAATTCCCTCCAGAAAAGAAACATGTGACCTATAAAGAGGCATGATGACCATCTATACCTGTGCAAAGCACCCTAAAACTCCCCCTTGATATTCTATCGTAAGCAGCTTCTTCCCTTTCCCTTCCTATAAATTTCTCTGATACCTACCACCTGACCAGGGAAGCAGATTTGAGCTTATCGCTCCTGATCTCCCTGTTGGTGGTGCAATAACACTCTTTTTGCAATAACTAGTGCCATCAGATGGGATTCTATGTGCTTAGGCCAGTGAGCCTTTGCTGCTTAGTATATCTATCACCAGTTCCACCTACAAGCAATCGTGTATAACTTCAATACATACAAGAATTATGGTGCCAAAATTACAGTATGATTTCAGAGGAAAATCCAAGATAGTCCTCCACATACCCCTAGTCACACACACCTACAAATATCTAAGTTGAAGGAAGGAGTAAAGATGCAAGAGAAGGAGGAGATATCTGATACCACAACATCCTGGTAGATATGTAAGGATATGGGGTCAAGGAATATAAAATTTTTATATATGTTTTACAGTTTACAAGCAACTTTCCCCTTTATTTTTTATAATCTAAAGAAAGACAATTATTCCACTCTGTTGAGTTGAAGAGAGGAGCCAAGGTCACACAGCTGGTGCCAGGATCATGGTCTAAAGACTGATCTGTTCTTCCTATTCTATTATGCTAGCATAGGGATCGAGACAACAAATGAGCATATTTAAAAACAAAACAAATAAAAAACCCCAAAAACCTGCTGTGATGAAGAGAAATCTGGACGACTCCTTTTTAGAAAAGGAGAATGCAAGTTTATTTACTTCTGAATGGCAACTTCAATTTCAGAGAGTTAAAACTATTGATGTGTTGAGGAACTTAATGAGTATCATCTCACTATTTGACTTCTGCCAAAAGTGAGGAAAATTTGACAGAAGAGACTATTTATGTTGTTATTAAACCTATGTTAAATAGCAAAATGTTTTATGGCTATGTCTATGGATAATTATATTAAGGAACAAAATTTTCATCTTTTCATTGAATTTGATTCATGTTCTTTGGTCTGGTCTTTTAATATTATGCCCGAGAAAATAACCTGCTGTTTTCTAACAAAGGTCAAGAAATAATCCCAAGATATTTTCGTGCGGCTAACACTTGAATAAGTCACTAGAAAATATTGTATGAACACTAGTTTAAATGATCCCTTAATGAATGTTGACCCAAGAGGCTTCAAATAGGTACAATTGTATCTAAAGAAAGAAGCAGGAAAGCGACAAAGAAGATAATAAGGCTACATCAAGGTCTGAGACAAATTTCAGATTGTTCAAAGATAGTACCTTTCATATTGGCTATAACATGATGCTGTTTAAAGAAACAAAAGAAACTGCACATTCATTTAAGATGTCTTACCATGAGATTCAAGTCCAGCTCCCTGTGCCAGCCCATTGTCATAGGACTGAAAAAGAAAAATATTATTTAGTTTAATAGGAAAAAAATATGGAATAATAAATGACTAAAAGTTGCCATTGTGGGTTTTGTTTTAAAAATCTTTTTTCCTCGCTTTTCCTTTATAACTTTCAAAATTTGCACTTTTCTCCACAGAGAAGTAGAAGTAGGCATTTTCCAAGTAACTGATCTTTTATTCACTAAGTCAAATCACTAAATGCATACAATTCTGAGACTAGATTGTTCAAAGATAGTACTTACATATTCAGTTTTTACCTAATAAAGCTCAAACCCCTCCTTCTTTCCCATTTGCAACTACATAAGAGTTGAATGAAAATATAAGGATTTTAGAGTCATAAAACTTTATAAGCATGAAACAAATCTGTTGGGACAGTTTGGACTTGCTGAAGGGTAAGAATTGCCTAAATTTCAATCTCCCCATATTGTTACAAAAATCAAAACAGAATAAGAATAAAATTACAAAACTCAAACCTTAGCAAAGCAACAAGAAATTCTTAAGCTACAGATTACCAATTGTCTATAGAAAAAGAAATATCAAATTTCAGCAACCCACCTGTCAAATCCCTGATATACTTTTTAAAAAAATTTATTTTTTGATTTTTAAAAAAAATGAGAGCAAAATGCATTAAAATTCATATTACACATATAGAGCATAATCTTTCATATTTCTGGTTGTATGTTCACACCAATTTGTGTCTTCATACATGTACTTTGGATAATGATGTCCATCACATTCCACCATAATTGCTAATCCCCTGCCCCTCCCTTCCCTTCCTACCCCTCTGCCCTATTTAGAGTTTGTCTATTCTTCCCATGCTCCTCCTCCCTACCCCATTATAAATCAGTCACCTTATATCAGAGAAACATTATTTTTTTTTTGATAGACTAATTCCACTTAGCATTATCTTCTCTAACTCCATCCATTTACCTCCAAATGCCATGATTTTATTCTCTTTTATTGCTGAGTAATATTCCATTGTGTATATGTGCCACATTTTTTTAATCCATTCATCTATTGAAGGGCATTTAGTTTGTTTCCACAGTTTAGCTACTACAAATTGTGCTGTTATAAACACTGATGTGCCTGTGTCCCTGTAGTTTGCTGCTTTTAAGTCCTTTGGGTATAGAGAGAGGAGAGGGATAGTTGGGTCAAATGGTGGTTCCATTCCCAGTTTTCCAAGAAATCTCCATACTGCTTTCCATATTGGCTGCACCAATTTGCAGTCCCACCAGCAATGTATGAGTGTATCTTTTTCCCCACATTCTCGCCAACACTTATTATTGTTTGTCTTCATAATAGCTGCCATTCTGACAGGAGTGAGATGAAATCTTAGAGTAGTTTTGATTTGCATTTCTCTAATTGCTACAGAATGATGAACATTTTTTATATATTTGTTGACTGATTGTATGTCCTCTTCTGAGAAGTGTCTGTGCAGGTCTGTGGCCCAATTATTGATTGGGTTATTTGGGGTTTTTTGATGTTTACCTTTTGAGTTCTTTATATACCCTAGAGATTGGTGCTGTATCTGATGTGTGAGGGGTAAAAATTTGCTCTCAAAATGTAGGCTCTCTATTCACCTCACAGATTTTTCTTTTGCTGAGAAGAAACTTTTTAGTTTGGGGCTGGGGATGTCGCTCAAGCGGCAGCGCACTCGTCTGGCATGCGAGCGGCCTGGGTTCGATCCTCAGCACCACATACAAAAAAAAAAAAAAACAAAGATGTTGTGTCCGCCGAAAACTAAAAAATAAATATTAATAAAAAAAAAACTTTTTAGTTCGAATCCATCCCATTTATTGATTCTTGCTTTTAATTCTTGCACTGTACTCTTTACAAAGCAAGAGTGATTTGTGAAAAATCACAAGAAAAATAAGGGGGGGAGGGTGGAGGGGGATTATGATAGGCCTGAAATTCGCCTAAAAAAAAAAAAAAAAAAATCACTGCATAAAAAAGAAGGCTCACCTAATACCAAAAACACAACAATTCTTGCTTTGCATAGTTCCAATATGTACAAATTCCAATTACCATACCTTTAAAACTAAAAATAATTCAACTTCAATAAGCGTATTAACTATAACTGCATAAATTATAAATTTTTTAGTCCGCATGTCATTACATAAATAACAGATATATATCATAACCAGTGACAAATTACAACCTCCTTTTTGAAGTCTGTTAGTAATTGGTCATTGCATACTGTTCAGTTCACATAGTGAGCATATGGCTGTATTGTTTTTTTGTCCTTTAATGACAAACTCACATGCTGTTTTACAAAAATGCATAATGAAAAGAAAGGATTAGCCACAAAAAAGATGAAAAGTACAGCAAAGAAATAAAAAGCAATAACATTGTAAATAAACATGAAATCAAATAGTTACAGAAGAAATAGTTGTCACTCAAAATTTGAAAATGCTGCTGCTTGAGAGGTTCTAGATATGCAATCACAAGAAACAAATGAAAGTGAAATATCAACATGAGTAAGGAAAGGGGTTGAGATGAAAAGGATAAAGATGTTCTAGAGAATTGCTGCTGGAAAAAATGCAACAATCTCAGAGATATTTCACAACACCGAAAACACAAAGAACATACTTAAAACTCTGAAATGTGGAAGGGAGTATGACTGTTGGCCTAGACAAATTAAAAATTGCTCACTTCTTATAATTACTTATGTAATGAGAAGGCAAAGTGTTGTTCAAAGAGAACACTTTAATTCTCATATTTCTAATGTTTTAAAATTACAGTGTACTAAATATTAATTTTATTATTAGAAATTCTGCATACATTTGTTCCTGACAGTAAGATTTTCATGTTTTGGCAAAAAAATTTTAAAGGTCATAGAACAATTACCATTTTCTCTACTGATGATTAAAATCACTTTGCATAATTTCAGTTTGCATGGTTATCATTATGGTTTGGTACTTCTATGCAAATCACGGACAGCCTAATCTGAAAGAGGCCTGGTAAAATGCAGCACTGAATATAGCGAAGGGATTTAAAATGATTCACAAGTCAAGGTGGCAGTTCTCAAAGGGCATGATTTTTGGTGAAGAAAGTCAAAAAGGAAGAGAGGCCCTCTGAAGATCAGGTAATAAGGAAAACTCAAAAGAACCCGAGAAACAAGAGAGAACCTCTTTTCTGCCAGAAAGAGCACAAAACACACAACCCTTTCCCTGCTACTAAAATGAGTTATCCACCTCAGAAATCATACTTAGTTGCATTAAAAAGTATGTAAAGTAGAAATTCTTTTAAGAAAAATAATCCATGAAATTACTAAACACAAAAGAACATACATAAAACTGAAATCCCTCACTTTTTTTTTTTCTCCAAAAAATGACAACAATGGGGAAAAAGAAACACCCAAAACCAGGCCTTCAGCCTGATTTTGTATAGATCTTAAAAAAAATGGTCCATTTCACTCATAATAAAAGAAATGCAAATTAAAAATACACTGACATCATTTTCAACCACCAGGATACAAAGATAAAAATACATTCTATTGGCAAGGCTGTATGAAAACAGGCATTTGTCTACATTGGTAGGAATACAAACTGGTCCATCTGCTTTGGAGAGAAAATGAGATATATCTAATAAAAGTACACATATATTTGTTTAGCTTTTGTTTTTGTTTTTGATACCAGGGATTGAATGCAAAGATGTGTAACCAGTGAGCCACATCCTCAGCCCTGTTTTATTTTTTATTTTGAGACAGGGTCTTGCTAAATTGCTGAGGATGGCTTTGGACCTGTGATCCTCCTGCCTCAACCTCCAAAGCTGCTGGGATTATAGGCATGTACTACTGCACCCAGTTTGTATTTAGCTTGTGATCAAGCAATTCCACAATCACAAATTGATCCTGAAAAATACACCCCTAACAAAATACATAAACATACAAGCATGAAGTTATTAATTATAGCACTGTTCAGTGCTCTATATGTAGATTATTTGAAAAAACTATGACATATTTACCCACTGGAGTAATATAAAATTGTTAAGAATGAGGAAAATCTCGATGAACTGACAAATGATTTTTAAGGTGTACTGTTCAGTCTACAAAAAATAAACTACCCAAACAAACAAACTATAGTATACTATACTTCCAGTAAAAAAAAAAAAAAAGAAAGAAAATATACACGTCTTTTCATCAAAGGCAGAGAGAGAAAAGAAAATCCAAATATTAATGAGAATAGTTACCTATAGTAAATGGGAATAAGACGTTAAATCTGGGGGTTAAGAAGGGTTTGGAAGATGGAAATAATGAGTCAAACTTCTATGACTCTACCTTTTTTTGCTGTGACATTCAGAACCAAATTAATGCTTCATGTTAATAAACAAAAACCAACAAATTGGAGGGCAGGGTGCAGAATGGGAGGAATCCAAACAGAAACAAACTTAACTGGTATTAGATTAGAATCTGAAGTATTTATATGAACTTGTGATTTTTAATAAACTGATAAAAAGACACAGAATGTGTATACAGAGGGTATCTACATATGCTTAACTAAATGTATACATGTCTGAACTCTGCATGGTGAGAGAGGGCCTAAAAGCAACGATATCCCAATACTAATGAGCATACTTGGTATCCATATCCCTAAATATCACCCCCCAATACAAACCAGGGGTCCATGAAGAAATTACCGATTTCAGGGCTAAGACTGGGAAAGTAAACTTGGAATAACTGTGTCAGAAAGCAAAAGGTCCTTGAAGAATGAGGAAACATGTCAAAAGGGCATCGAAAATGAGTCAGTCTGAAAGGTTCTCATTAGTCAAATCTGAGACAATCCGAGCATTAAAGTAAATAATGGTAGTAGCAATTATATTTCACTAAATAAAATAAGAATCTAGAGTCCATGAAGTACCAAGAAATCAATCTTACTGCCTTTATTTCCAAATTCTTGATGGAAGAGATGAGGCATACTTTATTATGGAAGTTCTCATACACTACCAATAATAACCTAGTCAGTGTCATCAACATAACTCACCATACTTCTTCTAATATAGGTGATGGCCTTTTTCATATCCATGCCTGACCAGTTATTCAGTCAGTATATAGCAAATACAGGAAGCACAATACACAAATCACATGTCATTTTCACTGCCTTCATGAAGTAGTAAATGAAGGTAGTGAGGAGATTTTTCCCAAGAGAATTTCAATTACTATTTACAGAATAAATACTAGGGCTAGAAAACCATTAATGCATACTAACAACATTAATGGATAAAATACTAACTACAAAGAGAAAAATGTTAACTTTACAGAGAAACCAAGTGGGAAGAAATAAGGCAAATTAACATGGCTTACCTCTGAACACAATGCACTGCGAAGACAGTATTATTTCTGGACCATTCATGCCCAAAATGCATATACCTAACCTCCTAACATAAATCTCTCTTCCTTTTAAAAAATTCCTTTAAGGATCTTTTCTTTCTGTATCCACAGCTTTTAAAAATTTGTGCTATAGTAGATCCTATAAAATCTGAGCCACAGTTACATATTCAGTTAAAACCAATTCCATTCCTCTAAGAACTTAAATTTTCATTACAAAATACTAAAATGCCAACTAAAAGTTAAATTAACAGTCTTGAAAATTCTAATTTACAAAATTTAAAATCTTCATATTTGGGAAGCAAATATGGAAACCTGGAAAGCAGCACTTCTACTTCCCTCAGGTTTGTTTCTTCTCTTTTTAATTTTAATTTAATTTAAATAAATCAACAATATATTTAAAAATTCACTATTTCATTCAGACTTCAATTTTATATTTGAGATGGAATAGAACAAAGAATAATTATGGCTGAGACTAAGCATTCCTTATTATCACCAATAAAAAGATTAAATTACACTGTGTGAAAGAACAGCATTTTTATTTTGGTATCAGCCTTAAAATAAACCTTGTGTTACACACACACACACACACACAAGTATTAAATTTTAATGGTCAAGGAGTCGATCTGCTCTTTAAGACTATTTCTATATAGTGTTCTGATATAAGAAGTACCAAGAAATCAATCTTACTGCCCTTATTTCCAAATTCTTGATGAAAGAGATGAGGCATACATTATTACGGAAGTTCTCATACACTACCAACAATAATCTAGTCAGTGTCATCAACATAACTCACCATACTTCTTCTAATATAGGTGATGGCCTTTTTCATATCCATGCCTGACCAGTTATTCAGCATATAGCAAATACAGGAAGCACAATACACAAATCGCATGTCATTTTCACTGCCTTCAGGTACAGCACAAAAACTGAAAATAAAACCGGTAAAGTGATACTCTATTAATGCTGGACTACAATTTTTTTTTTTTTTTTTTTTTTGGCAAGGGAGTTAGAAATACCTACTCTTGTGTCTTACAGAAATATCTATCACTCATTCAGAAACCATGTTCTACTTGTATTACATAACAGGATTATTAACCTGAATAAAATAAAATGATCTCTAAAATCAACATTCTACTCAAAGTTCTGGTTCCTGGAATACACTACCATATTACCTTTTTCCCAGATGCTACCATTCAGAATAAGCTTATTTACTCCTATAGGAGGCAAGCTGCAATACACTATTTTGAGAATTAATGGCAAAAAAAGTAGAAAGGAAAACCTGAGTCCTATTTCCAAGCCCATATTTTGCTTTGGGAAATTTCTTCTAAATGTATATACAGATAATTATTGATTAATCATATTGTTTTAACTGTTACACAGCTAATTAGTTTCTGACATGTAATAATATGTGTTATAAACAAAGATAAGGTATCAGTAATTGAGTTCTATAGTGAAATATTAATCATACATTCTGGCTGAAGTATTGTAGTATTTCCAAAATTTCACTTTATTCTATAGGTCTACATTAATTTTTTCCTTCATAAGGAGCAGTGTTTTAAAAAATTCTGACAGGAAAAGAAATATCAGTAGATGAGCATAAAGATGTAACAATACATCAGGATTTGTTTGCAAAGTCATCCTTAAACTGCATCACTTTGTCACTTTTGCAGACTTAAAAACTGTTTTGATTTAAAACTCTTGGAAAATTCTTTAGATACACTATATAATCTACCAAATAATGGTACACTATTTTTTCTAGCCTTTGAAAATATCATGTTCATCCATTTCTCCTATATCAATATTTTTAAGAAATATTCAAATAAATGTATACTTGCCTCCAAATATCAATTTTTCCCTTTAACAGGTAAATTAATTAAAAATAAAGAGATAAGAGTTATGCTATTATAAAATTACTTTTATTTTCATTCACAAAAAAATTCCTGGATTACTTTTTTGATTAAGCACTTAACAATGTATTCAATAAATTTTAAGTAGTTCTAAGAATAGTACACGATCCTCTAAAGGTCTAGTTAGTATTATGTTTTTTTAAATTCCAAAACAAACAAAAAAATAACAAGAAATGACTCATACCTTCCATCTTCCAGCTGAAGGGCTCTCAAGCCTGCTAAGCAAGCTTCTTTATTTACTCTGCTTAAGTCATCTCCAAGAATAACTAAACATGAAAGGCCAGTGTAGGTCATTGCTATGTGGCCACTATCATAAGGATGAGCTGTTCCAGGATTCTAAATTAAAAATATATTAATTAATAAATTGAAATTAAAACTTATTTAATTAATTAGTTTGACATGAGGTGTTAATAAACAGTATAATTGAATGTTATATATACCAATTTGTATACACAACTGAGAAAAATAAACTTCCATTAATCTTCCCCCTCCAGTACTGGGGATTGAACCTAGGGACACTCTACCACTGACCTATATCCCCAACCCACTTTATTTTTTATTTTGAGGCAGGGTCAAGACTAGATCCTAACTAAATTGCCAAGGCTGACCTTAAATTTGTAATCCTTCTGTCCAGGACCTCTGAGTCACTAGAATTACAAGTGTGTGCCACTGTGCCCAGCAAACCTCCATTTTTATATAAGTCTCAGTATAAATATGATCACATACAATTCAGGCAACACAATATTTAAATTTATCTTAGACCCCTCAAAAGCTTTATGGAAGTAGTTATGATTCTGAATAACCCAAATTATTTGAACTTCATATTTAATCTATTTTATTACTTATAATTTAAGTCTTTTTGGGAAGGGGATTGAACCCGGGCCTCCCACATGCCAGGCAAGAGCCTACCATTGAGCTACATCAACAGCCCTTTTTATTTCATTTTGAGACAAGGTCTTGCTAAGTTGCACCAGCTGGCCTCAAACCAATGATCCATACCAGGCTTGCACACAGTCTTTTAAACAGAAAATATTTATAAAAGAAATAAAAATTTTAAATAACACAAATGTAAATTAAATACTAAAGTGTAATCATACAAATATTTTTTAAAAATACACCTGAAAAACTAAATCATTCTGTTCCTATATAAAGTTTAATTATTTGAATCTCTACTAAAACACTAGCACTTTGGATAGCAAAAAACAAAGAAATGCAAATAGAAACTCAAAGTACTACAATTGAAAAACTGGAAATAGTGTTAACTTGAAGTATGTAGATATTTAGAGTTCAAAGGGGTATTGCTTGCAAAAAGCATTTTATGAAGCCTACGTTCTTACACAAGGACAATTATTAGACTAATAATTGGACAAAGATAAGAAATAAGACTTAAGAGACTCATTACCACAATATGGGTGGAATTAATTTGACCTGATTGAACTGTTTCAATAAAAGTAACTATGCTGATGTGATTCTGCAATCTGTATATGGGGTAAAAATGGGAGTTCATAACCCACTTGAATCAAAGTGTGAAATATGATATATCAAGAACTATGTAATGTTTTGAACAACCAACAATAAAAAATTTAAAAAAAAAAGTAACTATGAACAGTTATCAAATACAAAATGCGTGACTCCTTATAAGAAATCCTATAAAGACCTTGAGACTTGGCATTGTGATAGATAAAATCTGAATTAAAAAACAGTTATATTGCCAGGTGCATTATGCCTATAATCCTAGCAACTTGGGAGGCTGAGACAGGAGGATTTCAAATTCAAAGCCATCCTCAGGAACAGCAAAGCACTAAGACCCAGTTGCTAAATACAAAACAGGGCTGGGGATGTGGCTCAGTGGTTGAGTGCCCCTGAGTTCAATCCCTGGTACACCCCAACCCTAAAAAGTTATGTCAAATAATTCTATATGCCACAATACACATACAGTTTTATAATTAATTTCAAATATTCAGCTGATCCTACTAATTGGTTATTTTAAAAAGAACACTTAACTTGAAAAATGTAAAGTTTCCCATTGATTTCTCAATTTAAGAAAGTTTTCCTTTGAGTCTGGAGGGTGGGGGTATAAATCATTTATAGAGAGCTTGCCTTTCAAGTTTCAGACTCTGGGCTTGATCCCCAGGACCCAAAAAAAGCAGGAGGTGAGGAAAAAAGGTTTATGTTTTGGTAGAATGAAAGTATATTCTTAATTCACCTTCCCATAGTCTCCTTTTTGTTTGTTAGTACTACTTCAAATACTAGAAAATTAACACCATGACTTAATTAGATGACTTTCTTGTATAACAACTTTCTATGGTTTCCACACAGAATAAGTCAGTATAGTGTTTAATAAACTTTAAATCCAAGTGGTCACAAATTAGTCACAATAATAAGAGAGGCTTTAAAAAAAAAAAACAAAAAAACAAAAGACATTTCTGTGTTTATGTAATTCTTACAGGAAGGGGGATACTGTTTTCCTTTAAGAGGTTTCAGTTTATAATATACATTATTAAATAGCATTTAGCCTGATTAAAACCTGGAAGCCTGGTTCTTTCTGAATAATTTCTTAGTCTTCTTTCTCACTAAAATCTTCCTACATCCCTTCTCCTATCTTCTGACCCAAAGAGAACTAACCTTTGATGGATTGAACGGAATACCCAGGTATGAAGAGCCTCGGAAACCACAGCGATTTAGATTTGATCCTAGAAAATAAAACATATTTTAAATAGACTTTATTTTGGTAGAATCTAAAGCAGTTTAATTATACAATCTTTTAGTAGAAGAGTGTTTTAATACCAATCTTTGTCACTGTCTCCATTTTCATGCTAGCTAACGTTAAATGTTTACCATATGCCTTGTCCCTTCTAGGTGCTTTATGGGAATGCATTGAGGACATTCTATTAAATACCACTTAGAGACAAAATAGTGATTTCCTAGTATGTACCATTTATTTATAGCCTATCTCACTGTATACAAAATACTTTCATACTTCTGTATGACCATTTTTCATTTTCTCAACATATTCAATCCCACTATATATAGAAAAAGAAAACAGAAGACCAAAGGTTAAGACATATTCAAGATCAACACAACAGGTCTAGAATCCTAACTTTGCACTCGGTGTCTTTTACTTTTTCTATTTTGAATTGCTTTTTTTTTTTTTTTTTTTGTAGGCAGGACTGGGAATTGAATTCAGGGGCATTTTACCACTGAGCAATAGCCCCAGTCCTTTTTTTATTTTGAGACAGGACCTCACTAAGTTGCTCAGGGCCTCAGTAAGTTGCTGAGGCTAGCCTCAAATTGTGATCCACTTGTAATAGCCCTCTGAGACACTGGGATTATGGTATGAGCCACTACATCCAGCTCAGTGTCTTTTACTTTAACTGTTTATTTACATAAGAGTAAGCTAAAGGTACAAACTTCTCTAGAGCCACAGAGGAAAAATATGTACTATGTATTTAGTATTAGGCCACTGTTCTAGGTTATGGCTTTGAAGCATATAAAATACTATAAGTTAACACTTAAGTTTCTACTCATTCAAGGTATAGTTATTTACAATTTTTTTCCTGACTAAACATTTTCATTTTTCAAGATATCAATGGAATATAAGTTGGGAATTTAACAAAACAATTGCATCCATAATAATTATGGTTTTGATAGCTATCAGAAAATAATTCTGACAAAATGTATCAGCAGATAATTAAGAACTAATAATAAACTAAGCTGATTTTAAAATAAGCTCTGATGTGAGAAACTGCTTTCATATCTCTTATAACTAGTACCTGACTAATTCAGAATAACTGTTTTTCATTCTCCTGCTTCTTCAAATCAGGTACTGTACTTGATCCAGCTTTCTAGTCACTTATAAATTCTTTGGACAAATTAGGAACCACTAAATTTAAAACTCTACATCAACTATCTTCCCCATTAGTCTTTTTATTTATATAAGATATTTATAGTGATAATGACTTTAGTAAACATGGTTCTCTTATTTTGCTGATGACTTAAACTGGTAAGCCATTAGACTTGCCAATGTGTAACTAAGTCTTAAAAAACAACTATACACTCTGACCAAGTCATGATTTATATCTGAGAACCTATTTCAAATATAAGATCATAAGCACAGAAATGCTTACTGTAGTGTAATAATGGTGATAATCTAAAAATGACATAAAGTCCAACATATCAAGTCTATCATGCTGTTATCTACTAAAAGGAACATTATGTTCCTATTAAAAACAATTATTAATAAAACTATACAGCAACATGGAGAAATGTCTATGATCAAAGTAAGAGAAAAAGCAGGATACAAAACTGTGTCTGCATTATTATTTTTATAATGTAGCAAATGATAAATTTTTCAACAAAGCCTGGAAGGGAATAAACAACACAATTTAACTGAGTAGGATGATATGAACAAGAGTGTATTTTGTCCTCTGTATTATTTACCATTTCCATAATCAGCGCAAACTCAGCAACTGTAGGCACTTACTATCTCACAGTTCTGGAAGGGTAGAAGTCCAACATAGGTTTCACCAGGTTAAAATCAAAGTGTTGGCAGGGCTAAATTACTTACTAGAGGCTCTGTAGGAACAATCTGCCTTCAAGCTCATTCAGGTTGTTAGCAGAAGAAAGTTCCTAGCAGATGTGGAATTAAGGTCTCTGGCTATGGGCTAGGGGCCCCCTGTAGTGCCTAGAGACCCTCTTCCCATTTCTTGCAAATGAATCCTTACCAGAGTCAGCAATAAAACTCAAATCCTTTCCATGGCTAGACTTTCTCTTCTCCCTTTCACTACATTTTCTATGACTGACTCCTCAGGTGCTCATGGGATTATACTGAGCCTATCTGTATATATTCATCTTCCATGAATAATCTCCACATTTCAAGGTCAGCTATTTAGTATTACCTTAATTCCCATCTGCGAAGTTCCTTCACAGCAGTTAGATTAGTGTTTGACTGAATAACCGGGAAAAAGAATCTTGTGGGGTTGCTATCTTTAGAATGTAGTCTAACACAGCTCCCAGGTTGAGTCCCTTTATACTAATGTTTTAATCACTCTCAAGTTGAATGAGGGGCAGTGTCAAAAAGTATATTTTCCTATACGATATAAAATCAGTCCCCCTACCCCATGCCACTTAGGATTGCCTTTCTAAAGATTCTCCTTTCAAGCTACCAACCTGTTCAAACTTCTCCATAAAAATCTGATCCCATTTCTACTTTTGATGGAAGAAATCTCTAATTCCATCTTTTGGGTCTGAGTTTATGCTCTCATTAGCAAGCTTATATTGATTCCCCTTCTGATTTTGACAATTCTGCAAGGTGTTTTAGAGGCATACATACAATAAAAATTCAATAAAATATTTCTAAGTAAAATATCACTTCTTTAGATGTAAATAAATAATGGCATTTGCTTGCTCATTTCTGAATTCAAGCGTGCTTACACTAATAACATTTTGAAAAGCAGAAATGGTAATGCTCAAAATGCCATCATAAGGGTAAGAGACTATGGTGTGGACCCTTGGAATCAAACTCAGAATCTTGTTTTTCCTAGCACTATGTTCTATGGGCATGTAGAACAACCTCTTTGAGTTAGTTTCTTCCATTTTGAGCTAGGAACATTGCAAATATAACTCTTGCAAGGTTCTTGGAAGGGTTAAAAGAACATGTTTAGATTGTACTTCAGCAGTGACCAAGGCTTAATAAACAGCAACCATTTAATATCAATTATATTTTATCAAAACTGAAACAGGAAGAATTAACAGCTTGTGTGTATGTGTGTGTGTGCGCGCGTGAGTGCCAGGGATTGAACTCAGGGACACTCGACCACTGAGTCACATCCCCAGCCCTATTTTGTAATTTATTTAGAAACAGGGTCTCACTGAGTTGCTTAGTGCCTCACTTTGCTGAGGATGGCTTTGAACTCCCAATCCTCCAGTCTCAGCCTTCTGAGCCAATGGGAATTAACATCTTTTATCACAATTTATCAAGGAAAATATCTTGAAAGTAAAAATGCCTTTTCTTTTCAAAAAAGGAGAGTACACACTAACACTATGAAAAAAGCATTTATAATCTTAAGCACCAGTCACGGTACATGGGAAAAATGAATATTTCTTGCCTTCTTCTAAACTGTCTTTGGACTACAATGCTAGAAAAATGAAATTGTTTATTTCAGTATAAATAACAGCAACAAAAAGAGATCTTAACACTTAGGGAATTTGACTAAATACCTAAGAACCCATGAAAAATTATTGATTACTCCTAATTCATTCTAATTAAATATTTTTGTAATGGTGCTTATTAAGAGGTCACATTAATTAATATTATACATACATATATATATATATATTTTAGTTGTTGATAGACATTTATTTTATTTATTTATATGTGGTGCTGAGAATTGAACCCAGTGCCTCACACATGCCAGGCAAGTGTGCTACCACTGAGCCCCAGTCCCAGCCCAAGAGGTAACATTTTTGCTACTTCAATATCATTAGGCACTCCTGATTCCTGTCAATCTCTGTCGGCTACTGGGCTAGCAATAGTTCTAGTAATCTTACCTTTTCATGATATTGAGTAAGGTATAAAAGCAATTCATTCTAATTTTTAAATGAATGCATACTCCAGGTTAAGTATAAACTTCTTTGGAGGTTATTAATAGCACCATCTAGTGTTCCTACTCAACAGCAGCAAAACAAAGTTCTTTTCTGTTGGATCTGTTTCCCCACCAGAATCAATGATAGATTTTGAAAAAAAAAAAAAAATAGATTTTTGGGTTCTATTTACAAATGTGGGGCCTGGAGAATCATATTTTAAGAAACAATCAATAACCACTGATTTAATGAATGCATTCTCTACTTTCCAGTCTTTATAAACTAGTTCATGCAACATGGAAGTTGTTCTCGTGGCAATCCATCATTAAGTGACTTGCCAGACACTTGTAATATACAGTGGCATATACCTGTAATCCCAGTGGCTCCAGAAGCTGGGGCAGGAGGATCATAAATTCAAAGCCAGCCTCAGCAACTTACTGAGGTCCTAAGCAACGTAGGGAGACCTCATCTCAAAAATAAATAAATAAATAAAAAGGCTTGAGGATGTGGCTCGGTGATTAAGTGTCCCGGGGTTCAATCCCTGGTGCAATAAATAAAATAAAATAAAATAATCCAAGTGATTTAAGAAAAGTGAAAGTTGGGTAAATGGAAGAAGCAACAAAACTGAGAATTTATGCATGGATGCAAATGAGTATGTGTGCTTCTGTGTAAATAAGTAGAGGGGTGTATTATTGAAGAATATGATTTTAGCTATCAAGTCTGCACATGAAGGACAATTATTAAGCCGACTCCTGCCTGATGTCATATCTCACTTTAAAACTTAAGAGTTTTAAATAATAACCTCCACTGTATATCATGCATTATAAGGTAGTACACGTAGATATTCTTAAAAAAAATGGTTATACACTTATAGAATAAGAATTTAATGAGAGTTAAACAAGACTTATTTCAATCAAAGGAGTTGCTTTTCTTAAGAAGTAGTGTATTTACCCTCTCACAACTGTTCTATGAAAGATAAAATAAAAACACATTCAAATTATACTTAGGTATTTCAATAAATAAAGGGGAACTCTTGGTCTAAAATATCACCACATTATTAAAAATGGTGGTTGTGCTGTTTAAATGTAATTCAAAACCTGATTTGATCATG